CAGTTCACTGTCAGCACTAGCATTTAGCCCCTCCGCTGTTTTTCATGGAAGATTTGTATTAATTGATTGTGGGCCAAAGCAATTTATACACACAACAAATCATCACTGCCCACCCAAATTCAGCTCTTGCCAGACAATTTGCATGAAAACCTATCACAGTTTCTGAATTTAAAACTTTTTTGGTCCTAACTCTCAACATGGGTATTACAAAGAGGAATACACTGCGGTCATATTGGCCCATAGACCCATTTCATCATATGCCAATATTCTCTGCTTTTGCATATATGCCCAACATGGACCAGCAATGTACTGGTACTTTTCTGGACATTTGAGTGGTTATACCAGGATGTTGCCTGCAGCTACAGGCATCATCCTGGTATCGTTTTTTTCAGCTGGTGATTGGCTTTCATATAAAAACAATTTTTGGTGTGATCAGATGCTTTAAGGGCAGAGGAGAGATCTAGAGTCTAATAGACCCCAGATTTCTCAGAAAATAATAGCTGTCAATCCAATGACCACTTCCAGGCTTTCAAAGGGCATATTTCCACATATCACTTTCTCACTACCTATCACAGTTTCGGAGGCCCTAAAATGCCAGGATAGTACAAACACCCCCTAAAAAGGACCCCTTGAGGCATGGTGAGTATTTTGAAGATATAATTTTTGTCACAGGTTTTTGAAAAAGTATAAAAAAAAAATACATTTTCTTTCTTTATATAATAAAGTGTGAGGTCTTGTGAGCTACTATGGTATATGATACAATATTTAAATATTACCAATGCTGTGTGGTAAAATCAATACTATAATCAAATAAGATTATCATCAAATTGTGTAAAGAAATATGTGAAAATTAGTTGTTTGCTTACACTCTACACATACTCATACCATTGTGTCATATAAAAATGAAATAAAAAATGGCGTTGTGCTCCACTACCAAAAAAGTGTAAATAAATAAATTGTGTATCCATCTCTGCTTTGCCATGTCCTGCATTGCTTTCTAGCCTTACTCTGCTTAACCATTTTGTCAGTCTCCCTGCCGTCTCCCTGCCAAAATCTTAAAGCAATTAAGGACTGATGATGTGCTTGTGTCTTTCTACTTCTGTGAGTGCATTTAAATCCTTTTTTATTGGTTGTTATAAACTGATACACTCAGATGGTGGCGGCTTCTGTTTTCTTGTTACAATCACATATTGTATGATCGGCCTTCTTCTGGATATGGGGTTTGTGCATGCGCGCCCCTTGCTGACCTGTGCCATAATTGGACACAAGTTTGGCAGCTGATTTCAGCCAATGATTTTGTTTGAAGTCAGCTGATCAGCTGTTCCCAATCACACACAGAGTTCTGTGTTTACAAACCACAGAACCTGTGTACAGGGCATAGCGATCTGGCTGGTTTCCCTCTCTGCATATAATAAAGTAAAAGCAGCACATGTTACACACATTACACATTGTTAGGCACAGAGCTAATCCCTTGATTTACTCTAGATGTTAATCTCATCCCAGCTATTGTCATTAGTACATTGACAGTATACAGTATTAGCACTGATCACAGTATTGGTGTCACTTTTGATGTCAGTGTCAGTTTGTTAGTGTATATACCAGCCAGTGGTGTCAGCTAGTGCCATATTGCCGACCACACTATCACAGTCCCACTATCAGTTGCTGATCACCACTATTATCAGTATAACATCATAGCTGTGAAAAGAGAGATGAGCGAATCGAATATGGCGAAGTGGAATTCGTTTCGAATATTGGGAAATATTCGATTCACGCCGAATCCGAAAATTAGCCAACTTCGGATGCACGAATCGAATTTTCCCAAAAATGGCGGCGACATGTGTGGCGACGAAGCGGGGATCTCTGGGAAGGCGTGCAGACAAGGCGCGCTGACCCATAATACATTCATTCATGACATGTGATCGCATTAGCCAATCAGCAGCCAGCCAGCCAGCACTGTGTAATGGTGGAGCTATAAATTGCGGCCATCTTACAATTCTCCATTAGCCTCCGGTCATTCAAGAGAGACAGACCTGTCTGTATTAGGGACAGAGTTAGGGCCAGAGAGACTTTAGGGCCACAGAATCGTTACTTAGGGACACAGAATCATTACTTAGGGACACAGAATCGTTACTCAGGGACACAGAATTGTTACTCAGGGACACAGAATTGTTACTCAGGGACAGACACAGAGTTGTTACTGAGGGACACAGAATTGTTACTGAGGGACACAGAATTGTTACTGAGGGACACAGAATTGGGACACAGAATTGTGACTCAGGGACAGACACAGAATTGTTACTGAGGGACACAGAATTGTTACTCAGGGACAGACACAGAATTGTTACTCAGGGACACAGAATTGTTACTCAGGGACAGACACAGAATTGTTACTCAGGGACAGACACAGAATTGTTACTGAGGGACACAGAATTGTTACTCAGGGGACACAGACACAGAATTGTTACTGAGGGACACAGAATTGTTACTCAGGGACACAGAATTGTTACTCAGGGACACAGAATTGTTACTGAGGGACAGACACAGAATTGTTACTGAGGGACACAGAATTGTCACTCAGGGACACAGAATTGTTACTCAGGGACAGACACAGAACTGTTACTGAGGGACACAGAATTGTTACTGAGGGACACAGAATTGTTACTCAGGGACACAGAATTGTTACTCAGGGACAGACACAGAATTGTTACTGAGGGACACAGAATTGTTACTGAGGGACACAGAATTGTTACTGAGGGACACAGAATTGTTACTCAGGGACACAGAATTGTTACTCAGGGACACAGAATTGTTACTCAGGGAGGGACACAGAATTGTTACTCAGGGACACAGAATTGTTACTGAGGGACACAGAATTGTTACTGAGGGACACAGAATTGTTACTCAGGGACACAGAATTGTTACTCAGGGACACAGAATTGTTACTCAGGGACAGACACAGAATTGTTACTGAGGGACACAGAATTGTTACTGAGGGACACAGAATTGTTACTCAGAGACACAGAATTGTTACTCAGGGACACAGAATTGTTACTGAGGGACACAGAATTGCTACTCAGGGACACAGAATTGTTACTCAGGGACACAGAATTGTTACTCAGGGACAGACACAGAATTGTTACTCAGGGACACAGAATTGTTACTCAGGGACACAGAATTGTTACTGAGGGACACAGAATTGTTACTCAGGGACAGACACAGAATTGTTACTCAGGGACACAGAATTGTTACTCAGGGACACATAATTGTTACTGAGGGACACAGAATTGTTACTCAGGGACACAGAATTGTTACTCGGGGACACAGAATTGTTACTCAGGGACAGACACAGAATTGTTACTCAGGGACACAGAATTGTTACTGAGGGACACAGAATTGTTACTTAGGGACAGACACAGAATTGTTACTCAGGGACACAGAATTGTTACTCAGGGACACAGAATTGTTACTCGGGGACACAGAATTGTTACTGAGGGACACAGAATTGTTACTCAGGGACAGACACAGAATTGTTACTCAGGGACACAGAATTGTTACTCAGGGACACAGAATTGTTACTGAGGGACACAGAATTGTTACTCAGGGACACAGAATTGTTACTGAGGGACAGACACAGAATTGTTACTCAGGGACACAGAATTGTTACTCAGGGACACATAATTGTTACTGAGGGACACAGAATTGTTACTCAGGGACACAGAATTGTTACTCGGGGACACAGAATTGTTACTCAGGGACAGACACAGAATTGTTACTCAGGGACACAGAATTGTTACTGAGGGACACAGAATTGTTACTTAGGGACAGACACAGAATTGTTACTCAGGGACACAGAATTGTTACTCAGGGACACAGAATTGTTACTCGGGGACACAGAATTGTTACTGAGGGACACAGAATTGTTACTCAGGGACAGACACAGAATTGTTACTCAGGGACACAGAATTGTTACTCAGGGACACAGAATTGTTACTGAGGGACACAGAATTGTTACTCAGGGACACAGAATTGTTACTGAGGGACAGACACAGAATTGTTACTCAGGGACACAGAATTGTTACTCAGGGACACAGAATTGTTACTCAGGGACAGACACAGAATTGTTACTCAGGGACACAGAATTGTTACTCAGGGACACAGAATTGTTACTGAGGGGACACAGAATCGTTACTGAGGGACACAGAATTGTTACTCAGGGACACAGAATTGTTACTCAGGGACACAGAATTGTTACTGAGGGACACAGAATCGTTACTGAGGGACACAGAATTGTTACTCAGGGACACAGAATTGTTACTCAGGGACACAGAATCGTTGAATTAAAGAGTATGTCAGACAACACGCAGAGGAGTGGCAGAGGAGGCAATGTTTCAGGAGCGAGCAGACGTGGCAGCAGAGGAAGGGGTCGAGGCAGCACTAGTCGCAGCCAGAGGCCAGTGCTCCCGGTGTCATCCAGCGGTCGTGTCTCCACCGACAACCCTGCCGTCATCGATTGGTTGGCTCGGTCGTCTTCCTCTTCCCAGGTCACCTCTGACACCTACAGCCAACGGTCGGTGGGTACGTCAGACACAACCGTTAGTTGGCATAGCCCGGGAGCAAGCCCACTGAAATCACGTGTCCTCTACCTGCCCCTGTCCTTTGGTGTTCCCTCACCAAGCGAAGTATCGCATGCTGTGGGCTCAGCCCCACTGTACAGTGAGGAAGAGCTAACAGAGGGCGGTCAGGAACGGGGGGGAGACATCCGCCTCTTCAGCAGCCAGGCGAAGAAGTACTGGCGAGGAGAGTGGCTCGGTAGCCGGTCTAGAGACAGGTCTGTCTCCTGACCCACACGCAGCCGAGGGGGCTAGTAGTGAGGCGGAGACCCTAATTGATGATGATGAGGCTGATCGCACTTGGCAGCCTCGTCGTCATCTGCCAGGCCCGTAATCTGCCATGGGCCCCCGTACCGACTCCTCATGCTGCTGCCAGGCCCGTAATCTGTCATGGGCCCCTGTACCGCCTCCTCATGCTGCTGCCAGGTCCAGAGTGTCTCATGGGTCCCTGTACGGCCTCCCATTGCTGCTGTATCCATCGCCACACTCTGCCATGTGCCACTTTCAGGTCTCCTCACACTGCTGGTGGGTTCCATTTTGTCATAGGGTGCTGGCAGATTACGGGCCTCCCATTGCTGCTGCCAGGCCGTAATCTGCCATGGGCCCCCCCGTACCGCCTCCTCATGCTGCTGTCAGGTCCAGAGTGTCTCATGGGTCCCTGTACGGCCTCCCATTGCTGCTGTCTCCATCGCCACACTCTGCCATGTGCCACTTTCAGGTCTCCTCACACTGCTGGTGGGTTCCATTTTGTCATAGGGTGCTGGCAGATTACGGGCAGCTACGGTCATGGGCTCCCTGTACCCCTCCTCATGCTGCTGCCAGGTCCAGTAGTGTGTCATGGGCCCCTGTACCGCCTCCTCATGCTGCTGCCAGGTCCAGAGTGTCTCATGGGTCCCTGTACGGCCTCCCATTGCTGCTGTCTCCATCGCCACACTCTGCCATGTGCCACTTTCAGGTCTCCTCACACTGCTGGTGGGTTCCATTTTGTCATAGGGTGCTGGCAGATTACGGGCCTCCCATTGCTGCTGCCAGGCCCGTAATCTGCCATGGGCCCCCGTACCGCCTCCTCATGCTGCTGCCAGGTCCAGAGTGTGTCATGGGGTCCCTGTACGGCCTCCCATTGCTGCTGTCTCCATCGCCACACTCTGCCATGTGCCACTTTCAGGTCTCCTCACACTGCTGGTGGGTTCCATTTTGTCATAGGGTGCTGGCAGATTACGGGCCTCCCATTGCTGCTGCCAGGCCCGTAATCTGCCATGGGCCCCCGTACCGCCTCCTCATGCTGCTGCCAGGTCCAGAGTGTCTCATGGGTCCCTGTACGGCCTCCCATTGCTGCTGTCTCCATCGCCACACTCTGCCATGTGCCACTTTCAGGTCTCCTCACACTGCTGGTGGGTTCCATTTTGTCATAGGGTGCTGGCAGATTACGGGCCTCCCATTTGCTGCTGCCAGGCCCGTAATCTGTCATGGGCCCCCTGTACCGCCTCCTCATGCTGCTGCCAGGTCCAGAGTGTGTCATGGGTCCCTGTACCGCCTCCTCATGCTGCTGCCAGGTCCAGAGTGTCTCATGGGTCCCTGTACGGCCTCCCATTGCTGCTGTCTCCATCGCCACACTCTGCCATGTGCCACTTTCAGGTCTCCTCACACTGCTGGTGGGTTCCATTTTGTCATAGGGTGCTGTATGGCCTCCCATTGCTGCTGCCTCCACCGCCACACTGTGGCTCCACACTCTGGTTTTGGCCCCGTGACTGCCCAAATGAGTGAAGTGTGCGGTGATTCTAAGATCGACGGCACTCATCTGCATGTCATACTGACTGACAGTATTATTTCTCTTCCCCAGCAGACTCCAAGGGCATTTAAATTAAAGGTACAGTGTTCTGCACTAATATAAAGGCTCTCTGAAGCCTAGAAACACCCTTTTTATAAGTTAAATTTGCAGCGAATATATTCGACTCGAATCAAATTTATTCCGCGAATTCGCCGAATCAGCCGAATCAAATTTTTGAATACTTCGCTCATCTCTAGTGAAAATTCCAGTATATACAGCATACCATAGTTTGTAGATACTATAACCTTGGCACAAATTAACCAACTAATATACATTTATTGGGATTTTTATTTACCAAAGACATGTAGCAGAATACATTTTGGTCTAAAGTTATGAAGAAATGTTAATTTTTTTTTTATTGGTTGTGTAGAAAGAAAACAGAAAGTAAAAACTATTGGGTTTTTTCTCCAACATTTTTCAATCTTTTTTTTTCAATTATATAATAAAAAACCCAGTGGTGATCAAATACCATGAAAAAAAAGCGCTATTTGTTTGAAAAAAGTCTATACAGTACATTTCCTTTGTGTACAGTGTTGCATGACCATGAAATTGTGAGTTAAAGTAGCACAGTGCTGAATTGCAAAAAAATGCTCTGGTCATGAAGGGGGTAAAACCTTTTGGAGGTCAAGTGGTTAAGGCAGGCAAAAGCCTGGGCCCAGATGTACTAACCTTTTAATATTATAGGTTTTTCATTTGGTGTACTGAAGCCTAGATTTTTTGCAGCCCTCAGATCTCTGTCAAACCCTTTTTCACAATCACACCACCTGCTTGAAGCCCTCATAACTGTACTTCCCAGAGAAGGGAAGGACGAGACACAAATCTAGAACTCTCGCCCAATTTTGCTAATCAGTGTAGATGTGAAGCTTTATGCCAAGATCTTTGTATACCAGCTACTGCCTCTACTCCCCTCCGTCATCTCCCACTATCAAGTGGGGTTCATCCTAGGTACAGAGGCATGGGATAAAACTAGTAAGGGCATTAATCTTCACCACTGGTTGACTTTTTAAGCCAAGCAGGGCTTCTGAGAAGGCATTTGACAGGGTGGCCTGGGACTGCTTGGCAGCAACCCTTTGCTACATAGGGCTTTTTCCTCAAATGTGCAGGACTATACAAGCTCTCTATTTGAACATGAAAGTGAGAGTCCGAGTTACCAGCCACCTGTTGGATGCCTTTCAGTTCATAAATGGCACCAGACAGGGCTGTCCCCCCTTCTATTTGTGCTGATACTCAAGCCATTTCTGAACAGAATGCACAAACACCAATATATAAGGAATATCTTTTCACAACAAGACAAATAAGCTGGATGCCTTTGCAGATGACTTGTTGTTCCTGAATTCAGGTTCTTGGATATTTTCAACAAATCTCAGAAATTTACTACGCCAAATTGCAAGCTCTTGTGTTACTCCCGGGTGAAATATATGTGAATCAGTGTTGTACTGCTCTTAAAAAATTGTAAATGTGAATCAGTGTCACACCTCTCCCACAACATATATCACAGTGTTATAAATTCCCCATCATAAATTATAAATAATATTAAGTGAATGAATAGCTCATAACACTACATATAGTGCAATGATACAGTACATCAAAGTTGGCAATGAATCTACAAAATAATGGATAAATATAAATAATATAAAACATCTTTTTTTTTCTCTTTTTCTCACTCTGTACCTCCAATGGAATTTGATGGTATACAGTAGGTACAATATTAAGATTTACTATCAATTAATCAATATGGGACCATACTAAAGGATGCAATATAACAATCAATGAATAATGATATGAGGGAGGGAAGTGAGGGAGACACCAGCATGTTACGTGCTCTCAATCCAAAAATAGAAGAAAAAATGTCAACATGGAATTAAAGTAGATACAATTAAATCAAATACATATGTGGAGTAGTATGTGGACTTCATATAATCATAATTATTTCTAAGTCTTCATTTAGGCCACCAGGCAGCATGGAATCTAATGTATATATCCGAATGTTTCTCTTAGACAGAGTTTTGAAAACCTTTCTGCCTCTGGCAATTGCATAGTTCTAGCTTCTATACCAAATAATTGTAGGCCTGGCCAGATGTATCTTTATTAAGATATGCTGAAAAATAGCACAGTGCATTATGTTAAGTGCCACTCTGTTCGATGAAAAGACAATGCTCATTAAATCTAGTACGCATTGTAGGTATGGTGTAGCCTACATAGTACAGTTCATGCGGGCACGTAAGGCCATATATAACCAAAATGATTTATGCTGTATGTATTTCTGTTTTTGACTTAGAAACTTTTTTGCCCATGGTAGATTTACTGACAAGCCTTACAACTCTTCTTTTTACAGCAGTAGGAAATTTGGAGGTCAAAAAAGAAGGTATATCTCTGATTCTAGGTAATTTTACCTTAAAGTGAAGATCCACCCAAGAGAGGAAGTTCCGCATTAAGGACTCTTCCCTCTCCCCATTAAGGTTTGGATTTTGACAGATACCCTCTCCCACTGCCTTTCCAACCGCCTAGGCTATCAGAAGTGGAAGTTCTCCCCTGCAGTCTTCTGGGACACATGACCATTCACAAAGCCCAGAGCTATTCACGCATGTCTAGTCGGCATCCGGCTGTGAAGCTGCAAACTGCCCACACTTAAGATGCCAGCACCGGGGACTGTGGACGGTTGGTGAACCCCGGCTGCATTGAGCACACCACTGGATCAAGGGACAGGTGAGTGAGTGACAGTTTTGTAGCTCCTGAGTTTTATTTTTTTTTAACAGAGACTAGAGCTCTCTGCTTTAAGTTTACAAGTTGCATTTAAACTCTTCACATTTGGTGAATCTTCTGAATACTGCTTTAGTTTTTTTTTGGTAATGCATTACTTAGTGCAGAATCTTAAAGCAGTATTGGCTAATACTTCTCCATTATGTATCCAATGTTGATTATTATAAATGGTAACAAATTTGACTGAAAACCTTTCTGCAACAGGCTCCTTTTCCTTTTGCCTCTGTGGAATACTTTCATATTTACAGTATTTATGGCTTCCAAAATAAGGGCATTCTAATACCCTTTCCGGAATGTTTTGGCAATAAATGGCCTTGTACTAGATAATCAGTAGTGTTGGTACAGTTTCTTCTTATCCTCTTAAATTGACTAGAAGCTATGTTGTGCTTCCAACTGGGATTATGGCAACTCTTCTCATGAAGAAAAGAGTTGCCAGCTCCTTAAACCGCCTCCCACCCACCATATAAAGAAATGATGGGCGCAAGGCGGTTCTCTCGTTCTGGGAGGAAGTCAGATGATGTCCTCACCACTCTAACCTCTCTCTTTCACCCCCTTCTCTCTCTTCCTTCCCTTCTCATCTTGCCCATTTCTTTCTCTCATTCTCACCCACACCATTCCTCTCTCACTCCCCTCTCTCTTTCTCACCCCCCTCTCTCTTGACCCCATCTCTCTCACCTTTCTCATCCCCTTCTCTTTCGCTCTCTCAGCCCCTCTCTCTCCTCCCACCCCCCCTCTCACCTCCTCTTTCTCTTCCTCCCTCTCTCTTACCCCCCTCTCTTTCACCCTCTCTCTCACCCTCTCTCTCTCTCCCCTTCTCTCTTGCCCCCCTCTCTCTCTCCTTTCTCTCTCTTACCCCCCTCTCTCCTACTCCCCTCTCACTTACCCCCCTTTCTCTCACCCCTCATCCCTCTCTCTTACCTCCCTCTCTCTCATCCTCCTCTTTTTCTCCTCTCTTTCCCTCCCTCTCTCTCATCCCCTGTATCTCTCTTCCCCCTTCTCTCTCTCTTCCCCCCTTCTCTCTCGCCTCCCTCTCTCTCACTTTCTCTCTCTCTCTCAACCCCCTCTCTCTATCATCCCCCTTCTCTCTCATCCCCCTCTCACACTTATCACCCCTCCTCTCCCTCACCCCCCCCCTCTCTTTTCCTTACCCTTCTCCCTTCCTCTCTCTCACGCACTCCCTCTTTCTCTTTCACCCCCTCTCCATCTTACCCCCCTCTCTCTTTCTCACCCCCTCTCCATCTTACCCCCCTCTCTCTTTCTCACCACCTATTTCTCTTTCAACCCCTCTCCATCTTACCCCCTCTCCCCCCCACTCTCTCTCTCACACACCCTTCTTTCACCTCCCACAGGAAATTCTGTCATATTTCAGAATCTCAGTAAAAAAATGCACTCTGTCAGTAAAGTTTCCATGTAAAAAAAAAAAAAGTTATGGAGAAGTTGGCAACCCTATCAGGAAGGAGCTGAGTGGGAGCTGAATGCCCAAACAAAGCAATTAAAAGGATTGTAAAGGCAGCTGAATGCACCACACTTTTTTAAATCTAGTATTAGGGCCCAAGTTTTGATCTTGTGCACAGGTCCACTGGTTTCATAAAATGCCCTGGTTGCATCAGAAAGATAGCCGCTGTCTGTTGTCCATCTTTAAACCTGAAAGTGCCCATTGGCTTCTACAGAAGGAAGCCAGGAACTTCCATGCAGGCTATGCTACAGTGGATATTTAAATGCCCCATCTATGCAGCGGAGTTATAATAACCAAATGATCAGGCTCACAGAGATTCCTGGAGGCATGGTTGGGAAGCATACAGGCACCTGACAGGTTATCAGATGACCGCCACCTTTGAACTTGTCATGTCTTTGATGGCTTCCCAGCAATGGCAAGGGGAATCTCTGTGAGCCTAAGCTGCAGACAAGAATTGGGCATTGGCTCATTCCTGAACATGAAGGCGCAACAGCTTCTGCAGTTTGCAGATGGACCCTTCTGTGCAGCTGGGATGCAATACTCTTGTACCAAATTGTATTGTAACTGTAATGTCTACCTTCATTTTGTAAAGTGCTGCGCAAACTGTTGGCTCTATATAAATCCTTTATAATAATAATGATGTGGAGGATGGCTGCCACAAATGCATGTAACGTAGGCAGTGCAATATGTAGGTAGAGATTTGTGTAGGTGTGGCTTGAGTGTGGGTGGGGGGACACATGGGGCCCCATGATCTCCTATTGCCCGGGGGGCTCAATGAGCTGTCAGTCTGCCCCTGCATGGATCGGCAGAGGGGGTGTCACCGTACCGGGTGACACCAACCCTAGGG